ATAAACCCCAGGGTCAGAACTGGGTCAGTGAAGCTAAGGTGTCAGCGGAAAATGGAGTGGTTTATGAATGAGTTCTCCAAGACACTTAACCAAAGAATTCCTTTTGAAGTATTCTCATTGTTGGGATATTGGCCACAGTGGTAGCTCTGGGCACTCAGCAAGTTCCGAAAAACAGCAATAAGATGAATGCCCGTCAGCTTTAATGCTGTTGGTCACAGAATAAGTGTTCGGAAGGACGTTGAAAGAACCATAATTTCCAATGGCTGAGTGAGCTGTTAGGATTTCCACCACTCATTTTAACTATTCCCCATGTTTCCTCCTCTGTCACCTAAATTTATGAGGCCTCAGATTGACCCTGTTCTGGTCAACCTAAGATGCCTGTGAAGATAATTTGACAGTGTGACCTTTTGTGAGGAAGCCAATTGATGTAAAATCCACCAAAAAGAAGAGCTTGGAGGACTGAATGGTGCTTTAAGCTAATGGGCGAGTGGGGGTGGGTAGGATAGATTTGGATTTCCTCAATATGTGAAGCAGATGTTAAGGACCTGAGGTGGAGAGTTGTGAATATTTATTCCTATTATATTTTATATAACCCACTTGTCTCAACAACAGAATTACAGAAAGAAAAGAGAGAAAATTCATTTAACTTGATGCAGAAATATGCATATTTCTGATTTGGCTGTTAAGAAATATAAACAATATCTTGTGCTAATAATATTTTAACAGTTGCTTGTAAATATATATATACTTTTGCTGGGCTTTTGGTATTAGTTTTTATAGTTGTTTTGTTTTTCCACTTGCTTTTCTCAGCTATTGGTTTTTTTTTATTACTGTTTGTCTATTCTTATTTTAATTCCTCATAGTACTCAATACCCTTCCTGGCACTATCTTCCAACAATGTTGAGCTATACCCCAAGTTAGGTTACACAAACAGAGCTGGAAGACAAACATTTGATTAGCACAGAGAATGGACCACATTGAACTCCCAAGGGACTGGAACCCAGTTTACTCTCTCCATATTGCTGTCAAATGGGCCATTTATAACCTGCTCTCAAACATTCTGTTTAATCTATTTGATTTTTCCAAGGGAGCTGAATAGCCAGCAAATACAACTTCAAATCTGAAAACATCACCCATGGATAACGGAGAACGAACATTTCACCACGTCAATGCAGCTTTCGCTTAGCAAATCTAACTGCTTGCATTTGACACGTAATATGTGGTTGGATCTTATAATGGCATCCTTAATTGAGTTTGACCATATACCCATTTGGAGAACTTTTTGGAAATGCTGAGTACTTGACATACTTGCCACCATTTTCAGCCTTCTGGTTCTCACTCCTCTGTGTTGGGTCTTTATGGGCCATGGATACCCAATTGTCCTCCAGCTCCTCACCTAAGTGTTTGAACATAGTCAGTAATTATTAGGATGCTGAGTGGTGTAAGTGCTTGGATACCCAATTCGGCTGGAGATATATCCAACAAGGAAAAGCCTCAGGAACAGGAACTTTAGCCAAGGTTCCTCCCCTTCCTATACTCCACCCCTCTGGGCCAGGTCAATCATGCCAACTACAGAGATTTAACTGAGTTAACCCAGTTGGACCAGGGAGAAATTAACTTGCCACTTCTGTCAGTATAATGGTCTCTACCTCCTACTCTCAGCTCAGGACAATCGACAGAGATGCGCTACTAGCTGAGAAATGAATGCCTGGAGGTGGGTGGGAGTAGACAGGGAAGGATGATGGTAAGGAGAGAAGCGGGGAGGAGAAGACAGGAGAGGGCAGAACAGGGTAAGGAGGGGAAAAGGAAGGTACGGAAGAGTGCAGGATGGGTGGAGAAATCAGGGCAGGAGGAGAAGAAAGGTGGGGGGTTGGGAGAGAAACGAAGGGTAAGGATTTAGGAGGAGGAGCCCATTGGGGATGTAAGGAAGGAAGGGCAGAGTAATACCAGGGAGTTAGACAAAAGAGGGGGAGAGGGGAAAGCAGTAGAGGGCAGAAAGTGGAGGGGAAGAGTGTTATGGAAGGAAAAGGAAGGATGGGGAGAAGGACAGCAGGTAACGGAGAAGAGAGAAGGAGGGTAGATGAGAAGGAAGGTTTTGAGGAGAGAAAAGAAGGCAGAAGAGAAGAAGAAAAGTGTGGACAGTACGCAGAGTTTGGGAAAAAAAACAGAGGGAGCAAGCTGAGGGAATGGGCAACAGGAAGGTGGGTAAAGACAGGTTAGGAGAACAGAGCAGAGGAGAGAATTGAGAATTGAATTGAAAAGACAGGGTAGAAGAGGGTACAAGAGGGATCGGGAAAATAAAGGGAGTGGAGAAGAAGCATGGTAGGGGGAGGGAAGAGGAAGGGGGCAGAGAGAAAAATGAGGGGAAGGCAACAGAAGGGAGGGCTTTTATTTTGTTATTCTGATTACCACTCACAAACACAGTTCAAGTTTGTTGAATTTATTTTTCTTCCTGCAGTCCTAAAATATGGTGACTGTGTCTCTCCACTGGTCTTGTCATCTTGATCTCACCTGCCAAGTTTATGTTATGTTCTCATACAACAGATACTAATTATACGGCAACATTCAACTAACCCACCAGAATCATCCCATTGACAAGTACCTGAATAACTTGCTCTCCAGTCATGGGAACAGCAGACGATCTGGCATGGGTGGGGAGTCAGGGTGTCAACAGGAGTGTTCTTTTTAAAGTGAACAAAACCGCTCCAACCAAACAATCATCAGCAATGACAGATTGTGATTACAAGGCATCAACATTTATTCTCCCCTTGAGGAAGTCATTCATCCACTGCAGTTCTTCCTCCACAACCACAACCGAGTTTTTTTTACTTGTAATTTGTTCTATTCATCACTCTCCTCCATTTCAAACTGTACTCTGTTTCTTCAATGTCTCAAATTGAAAATGCTCATGTGTCAGGTTAAGTTCATCATTACCTTGCCTCTTTCCATTATTGTAATATCCTTGAATCCTGCAATAACAGCCCCTTGCACCCCAACATTCTCTGCTCCTGTGCTTTTAGCCCCTTGTACATTTGTCTGTTCCTGATGATTTCACTGACTATAGCTACCCAGATCTAACCCTTTGGAACTTCCTCGTAAATCAGTCCAACCCCCTTTTTGTCCAAGTGTTTGTTCACGAAGTGCCTTAAGACATTCTACATTTAAGGCTACATGAATGCAATTTGGAAGCTCCATGATGAATGGGCAGCCTCATTGCCTCTGAACCAATGCTAAAAGTCTTTTGCTGGAAGTGCCACTCCAGTTCTTGATGGCCAAGGGGATGCCTTCATAAGATGGCCAAACTGGTTTAATACAAATTCTTCCAACACAAGCTGATGACAGGTAATAGGAGTGGGAAAGATTCCTGATCAGCCATGTGATGGAAAGAAATTGCAGTCTATACTATCACCATCCATGGCTCCAGACTGCATATGGGTAAAATTGCCACACTCCTTGGTGGAGTTTGATGGTGGGGGTGGGAGGGGGGAATGTCAGTTGGTTGGAGAGTTGTTTACCTCAGATTGGTGCCAACCCCACAAGGTTTGATCACTGTCTGGCTGAGATGGATTCAAGATCTCCATATTGCCCTACATATCTGGGTAAGGAGTCAGTGCGTCAAGCATAACAAGTCAACAGCTTTGCTAAAGAGTGAGGAAATAGGAACTCGGTATTCACGACCTCTATACCAAAGCCATTTCGGTAGTGGGACAAGCACATAATGTACTGAAAGCAAGAAAAATAGTATTTTTGGATCAAACAGAATTATAATTACAGTCAAGGCAGCATACATCCTCTGTAGTCTGCATATGTTCTTGGTAAGTAACAGCTGCTTTCAGTGTCCAACATTCAATCCAAACAGAAACCTAACTCTGTGGAAAAATAATTTCAGAATAATGGATACCTGGGAATGATTAGAAGACTGTAATCTAATCGAGGGGTTAAATTGATGTCATTAAGCACAAGTGCAAAGCTCATACAGTTCATGAACATCACATCAAATCCTCAATTAGATTACTGCCTTGTAATTACTCCCAGGCCTCCATATATATTATATACACACTGTAAAATTTATAGGGTGGTTTGAGTCAAATCCGAGCCATTTTGAGTTTACAGTGACTATCACTGTGATTCCATTGTCTGGATGCTTTTATATCATTGAGCTCTCATTACCGAAGGACCAACGGTTGAATCATTTCAGTTGAAAAATTAAAGTACTAATCAATTCCTTCTGTTTTTCTTCAATGAAAGGATGTTAGAATTTTTGGTCTACAATGCAATTCGGTCACAAACTCATGCTGTGCTTTACTTGATGACTTGGAGGAGTCCGAACTGTGAGCTAAAGAAATAATCTCCAAGTTATTGTAAGGGTGCAATCTATGCTATTCATGTAATGCTGACTAAGCTTCAGAATTGGCAGATTTAAGAATTCTGTACTAGAGACAGATTCAGTTTTAAATCTTGCCTGGACACATTCTGCTCAGGCCTTTCAGAATCAAGAATACCTTTCATATATATAGAGCTCAATCGTCATTTTCATCAGTCCCTCAAAACAGGAATGACATCTGCCAGATTTCATGAATCATGTGTCTTCAGACGACTCAGCTGGGCCTATCCTGGAGCGACAGGTCTTTGAGCAGAGATGACAAGAATTGCCCTGAGGACGAGGGTTGGGTAGGACAGGGTAGTTCTTGAGCCAAGCTTCTGCTCGTTCCTTCCACTTTTGATAAATTCAATGCATCAGAGTTTAAGGGTTCAGTTTTCAACTGTGTTGTAGCTTATTGGATGAGGTAATACCACATGACATGGTTGCTGGCAATTTCCTCCCGTTCCCTAGATACATATCTAGCCACCAAATAATTTTGATCATTTCCTCCTGAATAAAATATGACCAAGTTGATGTTGACTGTAGAAATGTTTGCCTGAATGAAAAGAAAGATGGAAGTAACAAAACCAAAATGAAAGATTGATGATGTGATTAAAATCTTTTATTTTGAATAAACCTTTACATAAAAAAAAATGACATCTACATGGAGTTACAACACTGATGATGCAAGCATTAATCGCAAGGTGGTGACTGAGCTTTCAAAATAGTGCTTTGGAAAATGAGTCTTGCATTTTGGAGAAAATGAACATCACAAACATCTATACAACAACTATTGCTTAACAAGGGCCTAGACTGATGGTAAAATGGAAATAAGCAAATCAATAGAAACCTGAAACCTGCAGACATTTTTGGTCATGTACCTGCTTTGAAAATATACACCTGCAAGCCGAGTTTTTATGAAAACATCCCATTGAAAATCTTCAGATTTTTGAGTTTGAATCCCGCTGGCATAAGCAGAACAAAATGAAAGAGAATTTTATTTTTTAAAAATTCTATGACTTCGTTTTTTGAACTGAAAGCCTTTATTGTATTTCAGTCAGTGTTGAGCTGCATAACTGTTGTTGCATCTAGATGATTGTCTGGAACTCACTAAAAATTTACTTATATCCTGCCCACCATCGACAACGTATGAGGGAGGAATGCGATGGAATATTCTTGACTTGTCTGGATGAGTGCAGCTGTAATCATCCCCAGGAAGCTCCTCGTCACCCAGGACAATGTAGTCCATTTGATTGGTATCCCATCTACCATGTTCAACCTCCCCTCCCTCCACAAGCAGCATGCATTGGCAGCAGTGCATACCGTCTATAACATGAACTGCAGCAACTCACTGAGGCTTCGTTACCAGCACCTTCTACGCCCATGACCTCCACCAGCTAAAAGGTCAAAGACAGCACTATAAAATCCTGACTTTGCACAAAATCACCAACCATTCCTTCATTGCCTGGGTCATAATCCTTGAATTTCCTCCCTAACAGTAGTCTAGTTGCACCTACACCAGATAGTTCAAGAAGGCTTCTTACCAGCACCTCCCAGAGGCTGAGCAGTAAATGCTTGTATTTCCCACAATGTTCATATTCCCATTGAAGAATGAAAAAAAGTCACTTAAAGGTAGATATTGAGGTCAAGTCTGTTACCACAAGGCAATAAACAACTGAAAACTTCTCCTACTTAATTTGGCACTTTTTTGTCAAGGACTATAGAATTTACAAGTGTTGAAAGAAAATGAGACAAGAGAAACAGAATAATGCTATGAAAAATCTGCAGGGGTACCAATAACCTTATTGCAGATACTTTAACATCAATTATTCTACCTTCTCCCAAGCTGAGGTTTTGCCAATTTAAAATAGTTTATGTTGCAAACAAGTGAGGAAGGGATCACACAGAGCACTAGAATTGGATCTTGACTGTAACAAACATTTTTCAATGTTGAAGTTCAGAATAGCTGACCTATGAAATTGCTCCCTAACAGTTATTTAGCATAGGAATCACTGTGAACAGAACAGGAAGGTATTGCTTCTTTTCTTCTTTGCTAAAGTTCCAACAACACCTGGCTGTTCACTCCAAAGATTCAATAAAAATGCAAGTTCCCACTCTTGGAACGAGCTTTCCAGTTAGTCCCCCTCCTTTGTTCCTTCCCCACAGTTTTTTTTATGCTTTCAATTCCTTTTTGAAAATGGCTTTCGAATCTGCTTCCATCATAATTTCAGGCAGTACATTCCAGGTGCATTCCAAATTTATTGTAGGGAAAACAAAATTCTCATCTCTCCCTTCCTCCTGGTTATTTTGCTAATAATTTTAAACCTGTGCCCTCTGGTCACTGATCCTCCTCCCTGTGGAAACAGTTTGCCTACATTTATTTAATCAAAAGCCCTCATAATCTTGAGAAAATGAACTTGCTTTTTATTTTGAGGAAAAAAAAAACAGGGCGTGAGATTTAAGTGAGAATGTCTTACTCAATCCAGAAGATATATATTTAGACTGATGTTACAGGATCAGGGCTGGCATCAATTATGAAATAAAATCTCTCACTAATGTCTGTGATTTGCAAAAGAAAAGTAAGCAAGGAATTTTGTCCTGGCAGAGTTTATTGCCAGAGTTCAAGAAAGCACTATCCAAAGGGAGGTCAGGGTTGAAGTTGTATAGATATGAACCGTAGCAGGTTTGAACAGCTGGATTAAGAGAACTTCAAGAACATGTGGAACATTACAAATCCATCGCAGGAATGTGCACAAACTTTCTGCTAATGTACCTAATCAAACTGGTCTAGATTGTGTGCTGAGAGATTGTCAAAGAATAAACATTTTCTTCTCATAATTGATATATCTAGAAATAGATGGTAAGGGACCTCTCAGGTTACATACAGGATTTTGGATGTGGGTCACCCTGGAGATTGATAAAATATTCTGGGGATCTATGTTAAAAATCCCTGCAGCTATTAATATCCAAAAGGATGGTGAGTTCTGGATCGCAGCCTTCATAAGATAGTTAGGAAACAGCAGAATAATGAGAGCGACTTTAGGGAAAGGACAGGAATATGGGAAAGCTGCTATTCAATGGCCAAGCAAATGGGAAGCAGCCAGTGGCAATGATTGATGTGACGGCCAACAACAGAAGCAGCAGTAGGAAGAGAATCCTGCAACTGGATTTTTGCGAGGCTCAGTGTTTATGATGAGGAAGAGGAGCTTGATGTGTCATCGCTGCGTTACTTCCAATGCCATGTTGGGCACTATAGATCAGAATAAGAGATATGTTAAAACAGGGAAGCATTTAGAGTTTCGGATAAATTGGATACTGAAATGCACTCAAGGATTGTGATAGATTGCACAGAAGGGATGGCTTTCAGTTGAAACCTAGAAGCACCAACATACTAGCTAAGAGACTAAAAAGTATGGGTACCAGCAAACTTAAACTCATATGGTAAGGCAGAACATTTAATTAATGAAGTAAAAATGACATAGAGATAGTAAGAACTGCCGATGCTGGAGTCTGAGATAACGCAGTGTGGAGCTGGAGGAACACAGCAGGCCAGGCAGCATCAGAGGAGCAGGAAAGCTGACGTTTCAGAAGGGTCTCAACCCAAAATGTCAGGTTTCCTGCTCCTCTAAGAATGACATAGGTTTGAATCATTCAGTAAGCACATTAAAATAATGAAATTTAGTAACTAGCTGAGGTGGGATTGTACAAGAATCGAGGCAAGGTTTTTAAAAATAATATGCATAAAACCATAAACAAAAAGTGCATGAAAAGCATGATGTTAAATGTTATGTTGTGGATAATGCAATGATTGCAATATTAAATCACAGTACATCAACGTTTAACTAAGAATTAAAGTAGCAGCACATCATGAAGGATAGAAACCGATGTACAAGGCTTCACAGCTGAGGTCAGGGTGCATTTATTGTAAATAATGTTAAACTGCAGGAAATAAAACCTCTATGGATTGAGACAGGAATTAAGATAAGGGATAATAAGAGAGGTTTTGAGGTATTGGTAGGGAGGTGAAGATTACATAAAATCTTCAAGCACAGAAAAAGGTTATTTAGCCCCAGCATGGCCTATGCTGATGTTAGTGCTCCAAATAAACATTTACTACTCCAAATTCCACCCTACATCTTCTAATTCTATAACACTGTACATGATAATGATCAAGAGGATGATGGCGGATAGATCCTTAAAAAGACATCCAGCAGCAACGGATGAAGGAAATAGGATACTTGAGTGTTATGAAATGAATCAAGCAAGCATAGGACGTGATTCAGGGCAGTTCGCCCCACCCAGAATTGCATGTGGTGTTCTGGTTCTTGTACAAGGAAGGACTCAGTGTCGGAAAATGTGAATCATAAAATCAAAGTAAAATCATAAGTTTATGCAACATGGAAGGAAGCACATCTATCCTACCTCTTTGTAAGGGGTTTCCAATTGATCCCATTCCTTCCATTTTTCCTATAGCCCTTTTTTTTTGCATTTCAAGTATTTATTCAATTCTCTTTAAAGGTCACTATTGAGTCTGCTTGTACTTCCCTTTCAGACAGTGAATTCTAACTGATGACAGCACACTCTGCTCCTTGTGCCAAGCAGCTTAAATCCATGCCTCCTATTACTGACACTGGTGGCAATAGAAACAGCTTCTCCATACTTTATTAAAAGCCATCATGATTTTCATACCAAATAATAGAGATATAAAACATCTGAGGTAAAAGGAGAGACTGGAGAAGCTCAGTTTATAAATAATAGGGTGGTCTGAGAAGGATTTTATTGAAGCATTTGACATCTTAAGTTGAACCCTAAGAAACTCCTTACCACAGCCCTGGGAACAGCACTGTGGAGGACATGAAATGCAGTTCAGCAGAGGGAGGATCACAGAGAGGGTGTTGAATGTTTGAAGTGTCTAGAGAAGTAGCAGAGGCTGACAGCATCAGCAATTTTAATGGGGGTTGGGTGAGAAACTGAAATGAGGGTAATGTGTAGTGAATCACAGAGTCTTTATTCTAACAGTGGGGCCTGTCAGATGGACCAAACTGTCTTTTTCTGGTACTGTACATTCTCAAGTAGCTTCACTCTATAATTTCGGTTAAGATTTCTTTAGAAGAAAAACAAAGAGTAATGGCTTTCAAGCCTGCCAAAGCAAGGCAAAAATGTAAGTATGGTAAGATATGCACTCAGGATTGCTCATATATGGTATTAATGCACAAACAGTTAATCTAACCCAGCTGAAACACCTTTAGAGTTTTGATGCTGCAATAGATCATCTATAGGTAAACAGTTAAAGATAGCCATCTGGGATTGAACTTACTAAAACAGAGGCTTCAAACTAGATTTCCAATTATAGTAACCAAATTAGGAACAACAGTCTAGCACGGTCAAAGAGGATTTAACTAAGCAACTAACCTCCACCTGGAATCTCTGCTGACAGTGATCAATAGATCATTGCATTTTACTTGATTCAGTAAATCTACGTTACTGATAACTAAATATTACTGTTTATTTTCAACAGGGTTAAGGTACATGGAGTTATGCTGCTAGACTAGAATAACTGCAGCACTGAAAGAAAATGGTACATAAAGCAATAATAGTTTTTTTTCCATTTGTGCTAGTAGTCGGAGTACCATTAAATACCACACAGAGATCAATCAGGGCAAGTGGGAACTTAATAGATACTTAGTCTTGGCTTTCACTTTTGAAGGTGATCACTAGAACTGATGCAGCTTCAATTGGTTTAGGAGGCGTAATTGCAGATGGTCTTAGCTAGGATTAAGGCACTTAAAGCTGATTGTGCAGTTCAACCCGATTCCACTAATTCCAGAATGGAACTGGGGAGGTCATATGTGAATCACTGGCTCATATAGTTAATAGCTTATTGAGGTCTGGGTTGGTTCCAGTGGATTACAGCCTCATGTGGTTTCATTGTTTAAAAGTAAGAAATCAGATCCATCAGCATATTCTTTGTTGTTCTTATAACGTGGGCAACACTAGCAAGGCAAAAATAGAAAATGTTTGAAAACACTCCGCAGATTAGATTGATAGAGAGGAAAACAGAGTTAAAGTTTCATCTAATGAAAACTCATTGACTTAATGGACTACTTTATGCAGAAGCTGATGGTCAGGCTGTGCTGAGCTGGAAGACCAAGTCAGCCGGCTGTGATTTTACAATAAACCCTGAAGACTACAAATTACCATGTTTACTAAATTCAATTTTACAGGTGACCATGACGGGATTTAAACTCTCGAGCTATGTCCTTCAAGGCCTGTTAGATAAAGTACCATTCTACCATATCCTATAAGACATCAATATGGAATGTTCTAGAACCATTACACTGGATGTGACTTAGTGTCAATTTAAACAAGGTCCCATCATTATTAAAAGGTTCTAAGTACAGATTCATCTACCTGGCCAAATCTTTTGAGACTCGAGGCTAGGCCTGACAGATAACCTCTTATCCAAGTGGGGTATTAACCTTGTGTGTGAAAACTCAGATCTGTTTAAATGACCTCAAAGAATGGTGACCTTGCAGGCTGTAAGCAGGGAGGGAGGAGAAAGTGGGGCAGCTTATTTTTAGGCATCTCTTCTAACCTCTCCCCGTTTGGGATAAGAGGGATTCTGAAGAGGGCAATTCAGTCACAGATGCTGCTCCCCAAAGGCACCTCCAACTGAATACAAGTGTCCAACAAATCACAAGCATGTGTCACTTGTACACAGAGTCTTGACTAAAGACTGCTTATAGATCTAATCCCTCTGTCATTACAGGATTTGGCTAATATTCCCTCTTAGAGCTCTGAACATGACTTGATTTATTGTGCATACCTCAGAATGTCATCTTCTCTGTAGACTGCCACCTTGATGTGGTGGCAAAGCTTTTGCACCATGAGGTCCTAGAGATCCTGTTGGGAGTTCTTTATTCCTCAGCAGAGCTGCACGAGGTAACAAGGGCAGTGGGAGATGCCAGAGAAAACATGGTCTAAAAGTCTTCAACATCTCATCAGCTGCAAAGGTGGAAGAAAGCTGCAGCAGCAAGGCAGCTCCATCGTGCTTTGACATGTCACCAAAATTTGATCACCAACCATCAAGATTGGGGCATAGGAAGAAAAGGACGATAAGGGCAGACTTTTGATCAGAGCGAATCACTTGAAGTGCTAGCACTGACACAGACTTGTCATTACCCAAGTGAGGATCCTGGTTGTAAAACATTTTATTCAATACATCATAAAAGTGATAGTTTTAATCCATGAACTAGCAAATAGAACACAATGTTTTGCAATCCCTACACTTACAATCAAGGTGGTGCTGCCACAAACAGATTTTTGACAGCTCAGCAGTGCTACCAACAGTAACTTAGCAGTACTGCAACAGTTCAAAATTCCTAGTTCAAAATCATATTCTACTTTGAATCTTGGAAGGTATTTAATTCTTTTGAATAACAATAGGGTACTAGAGCCAGATTTGGGATCCCATATCCAACCTACTCCAAAATGTATAGAAAGGAAGCCAAGTGCAGCAGCACATGCAAGGTCCCAGATGAGAGCAGCAAACGGAGTTTGGAGAAGAGATGGAGCCTGAGAACAAGTTGAGTGATAAAGGGTCTTCAAATTCAGTCACCACAGGAGTCATGAAAGCAATTTATCATTTGTCCGTGTGTTGCACTTCTGTTCTGCTCAAATTGAGAAGCTAGTGATACACAATCTCACTTTATCTGAGTAAAGGCAGAATTCCAGCTTTGGCTGGACGCTTGGGGCAGACAATACAAAGAGGGAATGCATATGATACGTGCTTCCACATGATAGGGTTGATAGTGGCCAAGAAATGCCAATCAGCAATATTGACCAAGTGTAAAATGTTAGAACAGATTTAAAATTACCTCTCTGTCTCTCTGGCTATTCAAACAGTAAATGCATTTAATGTAGATAATAGGATTGTACATATACAGGGAGGTTAGATAATAGTCATAGCTGCATTTATGTAGCAGTTAGATAGTACATAATGGACAAAGGAAATGAAGCAATGCTCATAGGATTAGATAAATCAGGGTGGGAGAAGGCATCTCATACTGAGCATAAATTCTGGCACACAGTAGCTGGGCCAAATGCCTGTTGCTGTACTGTAAATTCTATGTTCAGTCACATGCATATATACACAATGAATTAGAAATCAGAGATCTAAAAATCGAATTGGGGATGGTGGCAGTATACCACAAAGTAACTTAATGAGAAGGTAAAAAGACTGGTGAAATACTTAGCCAGAAGATCGGGAACAAGAGCCAAAGATTACACAAAAACGTTACAGCACATTGGTCAGCTCACACTTGAAGAAATGTATTTAATGCTGGTCACTACATCACAAAGAACATATACAAACACCAAAGACAGTCCAGAGACGAATAAGACTGATCCCAACTGTAACGTGAAAGAACTCAAGGAAAGTTACTGATGATCAAGAACGGTCAAGAAAAGTAGCAATTAATCTGGCAACAGGGTAACAAACAAAAGGAAAGCTAATGTAAACCTGGTTACACTCAAAGTTTTGTAAAAAAGTGAAGAAAAGTCAAATCAGGGGATTTAATCTCATGAAAAGTAAAGTAAGCAGCAAGTAGAGGCGAACATTAGTAATGCTTGAAACACAATGAATGCTATTGCGGTAGAATTATGATATTAGTGGGATGAGAGTTGATAGGTTGTTACTTGTCCTTTACTTCTCATGTTATTTCCAGTTATTGTAAAGACTACAGCAGGCACAACATAAAACTTGCCACACATAAAATCCACCACAACTGGTGATGACCCAGATTCAATGGCGTTTACCTACAAAACAAGGCAGCAAAAAAACTTGTAATTTTCAAGCTTCAACCTTTTTCCGGTTTCCACAAGATAGTAAACGAATATGTTTTATTTTAAACAACAATGTTATTGACAAGCAGGGGAACTTGAAGGAAATAGTCACACATAGGGATCACCACACTATTAACTTTCTTTTTCTTCTTGGTCAGAATATCACCACCAGAGATGCAGAGGGTCTTCTGCAACACGGCTTTTAAACAGAGTTATTTCATCCAAGTGCATCATTGGAACATCTCGGATTATGTCAGCGAGTCCTTCGTGAAGAAGTGGGAATACGGCCACATTCAGTGCAGGACGGTCAGTCTGGAAACTGGAGAATGACAGAAAACAACAAGTTAGAAAGATGGCTGTTGGACAGAAAAGGCTTGCCTCCTTCAATGATGCTGTTGAAGTTAAATATTAATTTACAGTGGTTCAACAACAAGTTATTTCTTTTGCATTTCATTTTGAAAAATATAAAGCAGCGCCTTCAAATGCCAAGAAAAGTTGTTATTCCGTGATGAAGTGGAAATCCGGCTGTGAAGGTGGGAAAGATGGTTCTATGAAATTCCTAAACAATTACTATTCTCTTTGTTCCTTTTCACCCATTTCAGTGGAACTTGTCATGTGTACCAATAAAATGCTGAATGAACTCAACCATTAGCATGCATTGCATTTTCTATTCTCAATGTGACTGGTAGTAAAGATGCTAGGATTACCCTTCGATCTGCCACAGGGGTAGAAGCTGGGCATTTTGGGTGGTGTGGAGAAGGGAGTGTCCGCTGCACACCTTGATCTGAAAGTGGCTCTTACTTTAGCAGTTAGCTGTGATGTTGACATTGATTCACTAGATTGCAAAAATGCAAATGAGGGTGAAAAGGTACCACAGGAATGCTAGAACTGTATATCATTACAAGTCAGAACCTTCAAGGAGAGACAAGACAGTGAAGAGGGAACAAAGGCACGTATTGCTTTTGGATAAAGACATACAAAATTCTTGCAAGTAGAATCCCCAGAGCAGATTTTCCTCTGGTTGACCAATAAGCAATTTGCGATAATCCAAAAGGAACGTGGAGAGTTGAGGTCAAACACAGGTTGATTATGATGTTATGTACATGCAAAATTAAGTGATTAGGTTGAAAAGCAGGTACAGGAAATTCAAATGAATCAACAATATGCTTTGGCTGAGATAATAAAAACCTACCAGGGGAGATTTGTTGAATAAATTGTTAAAACCAGTGATGAACGTATACAAAATATAAGGGAAGAGTGACTTATAAAACCAAGAAGGTGGTGCTGAAGTTGGAAAATTGCTTCACAGAAAGCTCACATCTAGAGTCAATCTGTAATCTCTTCCAGCCCAGAACTCTCTCAGAGCCCTCTACACTCCTCCAGCTCTGACCACTCGCTAACGCGATTTTAATCATTCCACTGTAGTTGGGCTCTAAGGCCTGGATAGCATTTCTCAATCTCTAACTTTCTCAACCTCTGCTCTCTCATCCTCAAAACCCTGTGAGAGCCTACCTCATTAAGTTCATGGCCACATGTCCTAACATTCCTTTCCTTACAGCAATATGGATATACTTATCCCAAGAACTGTCGTGGTTCAAGAAGCTAGCTCATCACCATCCTCTCAAGGGCAATTAAGAATGGGCAGTAAATGTTGGTGTAGCCAGAGGCACCCAAAGCCCATGAACAAATAAATTCTCCACATTGAGTATGCATTTCAATCTGAAATTTTCATTGATAAATTACCAACAGGACATTTACATTACATTACGCCTGCAGATGTCAGTATCCTATTTTCTAAAACATTCCTGGGCTCATGTGAACTGGATTTAAACTTGCACTTTCTTGGAGGTTACATTGTTAAAAGATGTGAGTTGACACAGGCATTGATTATGCAAAAAGGGAGATTTTAAAAATTTAGATCAATTACTCATTATTGTTTTGTTTTCAAGCCAGTAAACAAGATGCAAAATCAACTTGCATATATTGCCTAGCACCATGTCTATAATTTTTAATAAAAGGAATAACTTATTGAATTAATGAGATTGACAAAGAAATAAAAGCCAAAAACATCAAGTAATGGAAATGAATTGCCTGGGGTACCAACATTCCCTGTACACCTGCTGAGGTTTCTTTAAAAAAAAAGAATCTGCACCAAGTTCATCAACTTATTATCTGCGTGGAAGGACGTTCCTTACCCGCAAGCTATTTTGAAACACAAATTCAGATTTTTGGAAGAGCCTCAAAAGTGATTTGCCAAATGATTGGTATTTTTATGTTCTAAGTTTAGGCTGCCATTTCCTTCAGGGCTGTGAGGTTAACGTTCCTGGTGCTTAGTGGAACCATTTAACAATTACACATTGTTCGCATTAGCAAGTTGAGGCAACACACCATCTAACTTGAAATATGGTTGGGCTTACAAACAATGCAATCTTGCCTACCTTTCCACCCCCAATGTATCTTCATCTCACAGCTTCCCCAAGTTAACCCTGTCCACTGTCCCCTGTTGTATTTTGATTTTTAAAAAGGGTAACACAATACAAGGAATACTGGTGAAGTAGGCTGGGCTGAAGGGTATCATTGCTACATAGCTACAGCTGGCTCTTGAGATTCACCTGATTTAACCTAGACAGCAAACATTTAGAACACAGTGATCTCTGTGGTATCACATGCCACCCATGCTCATGTGCACTTTCCGGGTAGGGGTGGTCACCGATTAGCAATCAAAAGCAGTAGTTGCTCTCACCCTGATCCCCCCCACCCCACCCCCAAGCACAAACTCAAAGGATTTACAGACCAATTACAGGATCAGTATACCAGCTGAGATCAGCAAATTAAATCCCTGGTCTGTTATCACTGGTAGTGCACTTACCTACTAAGCTAATCAGGATATTTATTTAATGGAACTGAGTGTAAATACAGCAAGATTTACAAAGTTTTTTTATTCCCTCCAATGAAAGTCTTCTTGATTCAGCTTGACTTTCGACTACAGTTACAGAAATGCTCATCTCGGGCCATTTGGTCCATATCAAGTAGGGTGGGTGTCGAGCCAACAGATATTAACATTGACAAACTCAGCAGTGTGCAACTTGCCTGTTTTACACAGCTCAACACAAGCCTTCAAAAGATCAATTTCTTATCTCCGTAGAGGTTAGGAAGTCTAACCTCAATATGGTAATTAGGAATCTCAATTCTGCCCCTCCTCTGTTTGGGTAATTCACTTGTCGAGATCAAAATGGTCAGAATGTGATCCAGCCCAAGATAATCTCCCTCACACACACACACACACACACACCCGAAGTATTGCCCTATAAATAAAGACTGCTTGCTAAACTCTCCAAACTGTCTGGGTTTATTGTTGCGTTAATTTATAAAATAAATTTTGCTATTACAACGTATGTACGCAGCATTGCTAACGTAACGCGATATAAAATCACCAATTCAAGCATACAGCAAGAAGTTACTGCAGAGTAAGAGCTCAAAATCAAGTGCATAACATGAAAAGCAAAATATCACAGTGGCTGAGAAGTTAAAAATAACAGCAAAATGCTGGAAAAACTCAGCAGGTCAGACAGCAACTGTGCAGAGAAACAAAGTTAATATTTCAGGCTGATGACTATTCATCAGAATGGAAGACAGCAATGTAAGCGTTTTTAAGGTGTGTGGGTGTCTGTAGGTGCCTCTGTGTGCATGTGCAGACCTGTAATGGTTGGTGAAGAAAGATGGCAGGAAGAATAAAAAGAGAACCTATCTTGGATATGGTAGAGAGAGTAGGAACTGCAGATGCTGGAGAATCTGAGACAACAAGGTGCAG